TGAGAGTTTCCATGAGAATGGATGTCTTCATGACTTCAGTTCAATCAGTGATGACACAGAATTCTGTGCCGTCTACGTATTAACGTTGCGATTCAGCAGATCATTCTCGAATTCACAGAGAAGGGCAATCTGAATGACCAGGCTACATAATAATGGAAATAAAAAAAAACACTGACTTTCTCTGCGTGATAACATAGCTTGAAATACTTGCTAAATTAATTGACTTGTCATTAACCACACCCCAATCTTGGTACTTGTATCATGTAATAGTCGTTCTCTATATTGTGTATTGGGCTAATTTGAATATTTTAGAATGGAATGGTCATTGTTACCACATGCGTTCATCCCATACCCAATATACAACAACATCGGATTGCTTTATGTTGAGATGTAAGCAACTAAATGGTTTGCCAGACACGGGCGGTCAATTCGTTGTAGCCGTGTTTACCAGACTGACAGTTCCACTGATTCTCTACGCGTAACAGCGAGGTTTAGAATGGCATGTTAGATTATCTTGTTTCTTGGCTGACTATTACCTACAAGCGATTGCAATGAACAAATTACGACCACTACTTGACCTTTCGGGATATTTGTTGTGCTCGCACATACGTATTTTGCGCAAAGCAGAACATTCAGTGGTAAATTAAATTCCTTGCTAAGATAAAAGGAGTTAGTCGATCGTGATAATTACCGTTTTTTTTAGTGGGCGTGGGAATAAAGATGAAGAATATTAACAAATTTTATACAAAAATAATGCTGACAAATAAAACAGAATAATAATTCAAATTTTAGTGAGTGGTGTATTTTTAACTCGCATTTATCAACTTTTAGTACCTGAAAAGAAAAACTCGTTCAACCTCTTACATTTTTTGTTTCAATATTGCCTATATAGGCATGGAAACAATAGATATGAGAGTCAACAATCCATCATTCACGCGTGGAAAACAGCTGCTTCATTAGAAATTGTAGTAATAATCGTATTGTTACAAAATACTTATGAACGTAATGTTGAAACCATGCACAAACCAAAATACACGTAGAAACTTCATTTAAAAAATAATCTGAAATCTAATTTGCTACGACTATAATTTGTATTCAAAATTACCAAAAGTTTGTATGAATAGTCTTATATTTTTAATAATTTTTTTTCAAATTTTCAAACAAAAACATTATTCCATTATATGTTAGGATGATATGATATATTATCATATATTTTTAACAAATATATAGCTATAGATTTGCCAACATCATGTAATAATAGAATTTTTTTTATACAAAACATTGTGTATGAATTCAAAAACTTGCGGCTAGTATCCAGTGGTCTTCTGTCTTACTCGGGACATGTCTGGGTATGAACAACTTCTGAAGATCGATCAATTTCGACTTCTGTGAAATAAATACAATGTTAATTAATGAATTGTAACTAGTAAGTGTAAGGCCTGCTTATCGCTAATGAGAGGGCACCCACAGAACTCACACTGGACAGGGGGGGGGGGTCTTTCACTGTAAGTATAGGGTAGACAAAACAATAATACTGGAAATGAAATGCACTAAAATATCGAGTTAAAGCTTCCGGATTTAATACTTCCCAAAATAATTACAAGAAATAAAGCACAGAAAAATACAATGAATAAAGTCACTAAAATAGGGGATTGTTTAGGGAAGTGTGCAATGGCGATAACTCAGTTACAGGATGTCAGAATGGATTACAGTCAATGGCTTCTGCAACACAACAACGGCGAAATACAGGAGTCTTGCGTGCAGACACTGTTATTCTGGATGGCACCGCTGGAAGCAGGAGATCGCTGAGCAGTTCATACAAGTCTCACAGAATGATGGTTGTAGCCTGTATCACTTGTCGCACAATAACGTAGTAGTACACACAGGATACCAAGGTGAAATGATGGACCACAACTGTTCCCAGTCTGTCCCATTTATAGGCATAAATGGACCAGATTCAGTGACACCACCTGGGTTTCCACATGAGCCAATCAGAATGTGATCTTACTGGCAACAGTGTCACGTAGACAACTCAGTAGATCATAAACGACGTTACGTAAATGTTCCTCACCTGTGTTATATAGCTATCATAGGCCTTGTTGGATACGACTGTGGGAAACAAAAACGTGTTACTAACACCTTTTTCGTTTGCGATCTGCAATACAATTGTTGCTGTTCAATAAAGGAATATATTATTATTATTATTATTATTATTTTATTTCCATTTTTCTAAAGAAATATATCCCACTAACCTGGGGAAACAGGTCACAATGAATATAAAAAAGAAAGTTACAAGTGTGACTTTAATCGCCTCAATAAAATAAAATATTATAATTCATCTATTGGAGAACTCACGCTTATAACAAATTATATCTAATCTGAAAAGCTGTGTATACAAATCTTGAAAGAATTTGGATGATTTCATGGTTATTCTGAGAATAAATATATATAAGTTTACTGAGAGACGAATGGAGCTCAAGCTGTGGTTCAATGCAGTTAATTCGATCAAAAAGTGTTTTTTGAATATCGTTATATGCTGGACAAACTACCAGAAAATGAGTTTCATCTTCAACAGCATCTATACATATTTGGCAGATTCTATTTTTCACTTGAGTTCCATAATATCTACCGGTCTCAATGTATAACTTATGATTAGAGCACCGGAGTTTAGTTAAAGCTTGTCTGTACAGGGGAACACGAACGATATCCAAATAATTCTCATAAGAAATATTTGTTTTAAATTGGCGAAACGTTCGTAACTTATTTCTGCTGTTTGGGGATCTACGAACATCGTCAAATAAAGCATCTTTCCAACTTTTGAAATAGCAATCTTTCTCTTTCTTTCCAATTAACAATGTTGTTTCATCGGTAATTTGGGAGATAAACCTATTCTCCCAAATAGTATGCATATTGTGTTCAATTAATAATATAACTAAAATAACGATGCAAAGTAATCGATATGAAACTATAATGTGAATTCTGAACTGGAGGTGTTTAATATGTTTCACTTTACCTCATCCGGTAATGATTTCATTAACAATTTTGTATATGCATTAGTAATTTGCAGGACAAAAAAAAACAGGAATTACTATCTACTGGACATATATACGAGTGTTATCAAATAAATTATTACATTCATGAGCCTCGCAGATTGACTATATATAGGTTATACCATGATACCTTATTATTTAATTCACTAGCTTGTAAAATTTTCCAGTTGTCAGCCGACATACAGAAGGTGTCTGTGATTTAAATGTACATGCAATTATTACTATAATATTATCAAAATAAATACAAGTTAGTATGTTTGGCTGATCATAATTTTGAAATGTATCCTTTATCATAACAATAACATACCATTTGATTACGACAGAATTGCTTCGCATTATTACTTCCTATGACTCGAACGTGTACAGTCGCTAAGAGGAACGTTTGTCCTCGGTGATGTCACATTCATTACATATAAGTGTAATACAAACATGATTATTGCAAATGTTTGACATTGTCCAGAACCTACATTCTTATTGAAATCATCTTCAATGACGATGACATGTTAAGTGACACTAAAAATAATATGATTGAAAATAAGTGCTAAAAAATACAAAATTTGAATTAGTGGTTTCTCGTGGAGATATCATTCGGGTAAAGTTTGGTGCAACGATCTTAGCCTTTCTTTTCAACATTATTGCTACTACAGTGAGCATTATATTTCATCATATTTCGTTAATATATATTGTTGTCAATTCATTTCCATATCCTGTAAATCTGCATTCACAATTTCCTGCATATACATATAAAAGTACATTTTCCCTACTAGTGAACAGAACATTTGTGTCATGATTTATTTCTATGAGATGGGTCACTGATACGACTTGATAGCTGGTTTATATCATTCAACATATTCCCATAACTTGTCACCATTTAAGTTTATACAAGGTCCTAACCGGAACTTGAATCAGTTTGGTATGTGTAGTTTCTTAAAATAGCGGACGATTAATCAATATATATGACATACTTTGTGTCATTGGCTACATGCGAATTGAATGTTTGGAGGCTACGCCTTGAGCTTTTAAACTCCCCTGTAATTGGTTAAGTTTTGATAGGTAATAAAGGACGTCTTGGCCAGTTTGGTAAAGTGTGCTCAACAGAACGATCACAAGGCGAGAGAGTCTTGAAGAATTTCCCCGAGGCATTTTGTCTTTGATATTTCTCGACGGGCGACTAAGTCTAGAAGTTGACACGTATTCCATATTTGTGTGTGTCTTTGTTCGGTAAAAGGTGGCGAACGTACGATGCCTGGTACCTAAGAAATTGGTTTAATAAGAACACGATTCACCCCCCCCCCCATTACATTTGCATGCCATGGCCAATAAACACAGTTAAAATGAATACAACGCCTCTCGCACATACATATAATCAATCATTAACCTTCAAATTTAATGTATCATAACATAACCTGAATGTTTTTTTAACTGACCATAAAGTCAACAGTCATTTGGCGTAGAATAGTTCATATTTATCACGTAATAATGGTTCTTCGCTCATATTTATCAGGTAGTCATGGTCCTTCGCTCATAGTTATATATAGTTTATCAAGGTATGTTTGTAAATTTAATCGCTACCGCATAATTTGTGATAAATGCAACGTATTCGGTTAGGTCCTTCGCGGTCCTTCGTTTATTAGTGAGTACCCGGGATTGGGCCAATTACTGAACTAAATACTAGTAACTGAACTGGTTGGCATAAGCGGTGTCTTTGGGTTGTTGTTTTTTTTTGGGGGGGGGCTCAATAACAACTGGTCCTTGTTTGTAGTCATTTATTAAAGCAGAGCCTACATCGAAATATTATTTACGCGATGATATTTGCATAGTCAATTGACCCGCTATACACATTGGGCCTACCCCTGATTGTAGTGACCCGCGCTGAATGGAGAGGTTTAACATGAACGTCCTTTGTTTACTTCCGTGATCTGGGGTGAATCTAGGACATCGATCATGGCTTCCACGGTCAGCCTATGTATGTGTCTCATGTTTGTGTGTCTCTGTGATTGTGTTCTTGTTGCGGTGACGCCCACCAAAACATGCAGATCTACAGACGTCAGAAAAGTGATTTGGCTGAAATTTTTAGTGACTGTTAACGACACCTGGGATCCAGACGGGTAAGTTTACCTCACTAACATCCGACTAGCATGTGGTTAAGCCCTACAAGGTCATGCACAGTTCATGCCGGTAACGCCTCCTATATTTTTTTCGGTACGAACGCCGTATTGGAATACTCATATTTATAGCTTATATTTGTTAAACAGATATATACTGGGACTGCACGCTGTTTATCAAAATTAGCAATTAGAAAAGCCAACTGAACGTGACAAGCACGGATTACACACTAATAGACGATGCACTGAAGTTTTGGGTCGGTTGACCCAACACAGTTGCATGTACCCACATACTAGATTGTGACGTGAAATCGCATATGACGTCACAACCCACAATGCAAGGAAGGAACTAATCTAAATACAGTACGAGCGTTTGCAATCAAATTTGGTATATATGCGTTTTACATGTCTACACGTTCTAGTACAAGTTTGTACAGACCCCATTCATTTTCACCTGAATGCAAGTGGCTCGAAATATTTTTGTGTGAAATTCTTTTCTTTCTTTTTTTAGATGCATTGCGACAGTCCTTACACCAAGGTTGATTCCCGGTAAAGAATACAATAAATCCGAATCTGTACGTGTTGGTAGATGCGATAAAGGCCCTCTATGGTTCAATATATCAGAAGCAGGAATAAAAGAATCACATGCTATGGTAAATAGATTGCGTTTATGTAGTTGTGTGTGAGGGAAACGTACAGCCAGGCAATCCATATTATTTATTAATGATTGTGATTATCTCGTGTAACCAAAGACAATAGAAAATGTCTTTGGTGTAACAAAATAATTAGTGTCACCACAGTCCTTCTATAATAGAGGGACTGTGGTGGCACCTGTGATTTCTTAAATTAAACGTTAACAAGTCGTGGTCTTGAATAATTGTAATAAATTGCTCTCTGTCTGTCAACATTTGATAATTTGTGAATATGTACGTTAGGCGTAATAAGCAATAACAAGTTTGTGATAAAACAAATGATACGCAAAAAGTGCAACCGAGTGCCATTCTAGTGTGATTACATGTACAGAACTGATGGTGCAGGGGAAGTAGTAATTCGGATTATGGAGGATATATTGCTTCTATGTTAAAGCGGGAGGGTCGTCACCTGCGCACGCGCGGGAATCGAGTCCCAAGCGACGATAACACGCTAAAACGCAAAGGCTCATGGGTAGACGCTTGGTTGTAAACAATGACACGCTATGGCCATCTGACGCATACGCAGGTGACGACTTCCCCGCTTTAATATTCATTTACATAGTGATATATCATAACGTAAATAATGCAATGGGATTGTTTGGCCTCAAAATATTTGCATATTAATTTTTATTTCCCATTGAATTTCAGAATGTTGACTTAATATTCTTTTCCTCTGTCGTCGAAGACGCTTCCCCGCCTACCTGTAGGATACCATGGAATGGCACGTACCTGACACCGAAAACAACGATGGCAAACGAGTCTCTGTTACCCGGATGTTTTGTCATGGACTCCCGCGAAGGATATCACATGACGTATTACTGGTTTCACGTAATTGATTGGATGTTTGGCTAATTTGTAAAATCGTAATTGCTTTGTATGTTGGTGAACAATAAAGATTACAGTAGACTTACATATGTATTACCAAATATTGCAATGTTGTGTTTTGAAGTCATTAATATTAATTTATGATTATAAAATTTCTTTTATGCACTAAGTTCTGTATTCTACAACTTTTTGCCAACGATAGTGCTCTGCTTCAAAACTTGCATGTACTACCAGAAAAAAATATATAACCACTTGTAAAGGAACATTTGTTTATTGTGCTACTGTACAAACATAAACATTTTCCCAGAAATGAATCATGTAAAACGATGTCTAAATATTATACACGTACATGAAGTGACAGCTCAATCATGAACACTACCATCTAGTGTCAACAAATGGTAATTATTACACTTGACTACATTTGGTGATTTCTCACCATGTTGTATTCGATAAGTGAAAGCAATGACACTTTTTAATTGGTCCAAATTGACAAAATAAAAACAATATATTCATAAATGTGAAAATTATGTGCATCAAAAGTTTAGAAACATAAGTTGTGTTTTCCTTCTTTCATTTAATTAAAGCAGTGTTAGCCGAATTCAAATTTTGCTTTACTGAGCTAGTTACTGCACATATATGCGAGATATTCTAAAGGGGTTAATTATTCACTGACTGCAAAATGCACTAAACTAAAACCCAGTGAATATGTAATATTTAGCATAGAACACATTATCTAAATGATTAAACCGTGAATTTAAAACACACTGAATATGCCTGAAATAAATCGGTGAAATTTAAACTCAGTGAAAATTAGTCATTTTACAGTAATCTTGAAAACAGCTTGAACCTCCTTACATTACAAAATACATTTGTGGTACAGAACGAATACCAGCACAAATTAAACATTCATTGTCATGGTATAGACAATGTAGCCCCAACATCCTGAGTGTACTCGTTTGGTGATTCAGTATTTATTTTGCCAGTGATGTTAGTTGAAAAATATGAAAAACACAGGTCATGTCGCTATAACTAAAGGTAACACTATGTACATAATGGGCAATCAAGGTAATTAGTGCTAATTAATTATACTAAGTTCTTCTTGATCACGTTTGTCTGTCATTGCAGTGAAAAGTTTTGATAGATAGTTAGCAAAGTGGGTTCTGACGCCGTCGTGGTCTTCTTCTAAATTGGTCGACACCTGAGTGACCTTGGCCATTGTGCTTCCGAGTTGAACCTTAGCGTGGCTGGATGAATTGGGTTTCTGATGGGCAAATATTATACACTGTGAGTCACGTAGACCCTGCCCAACAACAAAGTTAGAATACCTGTAATAAAATCAGATGTAATTAAAATCAGTGCTAGTCATCCTCTTTAGTTGTACAGATTTACAGTGTGTACTAAAATAAACTGATCACAATAACTGTTATATGCCTGCAAATTCTTAGGAACATCACCAACAGTGTTTGTTTCGACTCCAACCATTGAAACAATAAAACATTATTTACATATCAAAAGTTTCACTATATTGAACAGGGGCTGCTCAAATTTGAAAATAATATTGTGTATTTGTGATCAAATAATTCCCAATGTTCATATGTAGAATGCTTATAAGATTCACTAAGTAACCACTATGACATTTCTGAGTATATTTTGAATCCAAATCCATAAATCCAATTTGAAAATGGTTTCATCTTCTCACTGTGTTTGAATCTGAGAGGTTTTAACTGCACTCTAGTTGTGGGTATCACTTGTTAAAATGGTCGTGTGTCCAGCAGCATCAGCTTGTGGAATTGAAAGTGCTGAAGTAAAAAAAAAAACACCGCTGATAATGTTCCCAGGATTATTGCAATGCTGCGAGAGAAACTATTAGAAAGATTTCTCAGATCAGTTTAGTTTAGTTTATTATTAATTAAGACAGAGCTGATAAGCATTCTCCTTTGAGGGTGAACATAACAGAAATGGTTTAGACAGAAATCCCCAAAATATTTTAAAAATAATCTTCAAGATGATGAAATATGATTAGACCCTCTATAATTACTGAGATCAAAATTTGGAGCCTAATTGGTTAGAATGAGGTTACAGTTACAATCAAGAAAATGCAAAATCTTTTGAAGAATATAAATTACATACTTTTTTATTTGCAATTTAATATTTAATGAATATAACCAGTAATTTAGCTCGTGATTGTTCAACAATGTCCATTTGGTCAAAAAATTATAGAAAAATGCATTAAAAATGGCAAAATGTTGCATTTTGTCAAATTCATGATTGTGGAGTATTTGCAAACAGCAAGACTAAGTTTATTACAACACATTGCGTACTGACACTGTTTTTATACCATTCATATCCACTATCCATCATGGGGGCTTGCAGGAGGCAATGCGTTTAATTAACTGACTCTAGATTCCTAGAGCAAGCAGCATACTAAAAAAAAACTTTAGACTTACCACATTTCTAGCTGTTTATCATGATTTGATTGGTCAGGATTATACACCATAACTACGCCATTGGTATCTTTCATGAATGCTGGCCAACACGTTTCAAATCTGAAAGAGTAATATCAATATTCACACAAACACTTTGGAGCATTTTCCATAGGATTCCGATCTCATGTAAATGCACTATTCCATGGAAAACTTGTACTACGATAATTTTTCAAAATTCTCAGTCATATGTAGCCCACATAACACTACATATAATTTTTTAAAGCAAGTTTATTTTATGAAAAAATTTAGTTGGGTGCCCATATATTTTTATTTCAAATTTTTAACATTACTCTTGCTGAAATTTGAGTATTTTTTCAATGGTAGCAAACTACTGTAAAAGAACTGAAAATCCAGAATCTCACAATAGATTTACTTACGGTACAGTTGGTACCGTACACTAACAGGAAACAAATTACAGATTATGAACTTGTACTCTATAAAAACAAAGGTAACTGATGATGTGATCTCAAGGGTTGAAAGCTGCTTCTTGATGTATTTGTGATTGACAGAAAAATTTAGACATTCAAATGGGTGTTTTGTATGGAGTTTAATTTTGATGAGTTGAAATGTCAAACAGGAATAAAGATCTATTCGTTGGATTTTATTTTCACTGAATCATCCCTTTAGCAAAAATAGCGAGTAAGTATTTTACAGTAATTGAGAAATTAGAAAAAAATTTGTGACTTCTTAATGTAAAGTCACGTTTTTCCCCTCAAAGACATCTATTTTATGCTCATATCAATTGAAATAGTGAGCACCAGATCAAATAAAAATCAAACACTCACTTTTGATTACCACTACAGTCCCATAATTCCACTTCAGCATTTGCCAATCTTCCTCCAACGTGCAGATTAGTTTCAAATTCTAAAATTCTGAAAACAAGTGGGGGGGGGGGGGGGTAAAGTATGTTTAAATATCATAGTGTAGATGAAGTACTAGTATGACTTTACAATAAGCAAAGTGTGATTGACATGAGTGGGATTAAATCAAGGAAATACTCGCTGTTACGGCACGCCTGATTGGCTGAAAATGAATATGTGCACTTGATTTACCCAGAACTCTGTGCGAATCCCCCTTGATTCTGGCTGCTGGCCATTTTCGATCATGAAATTGTCGGATATCACCAGAAAACTCGCAATTTGTGCAGTTTTGAATAAAACCAAGTTAGGCTTGTAGGTAGGGCTTTGGCGAAATTTGAAGAAGCAACTAATACTGTAGAATACTTTATTTTCGCTTGGAATTTATTTTCGCTATTTTCGCTGAAGGGATGATTCCGTGAAAATAAAATCCAGCGAATATACTTTTTTTCCTATATTTAACATTAAACTCATCAAAAATGAGTGAAAATAAATTCCATACAAAACGCCCAAAAAGCCTTTTCAGCGAAAATTAATTCCAGCGAAAATAAAGTATTCCACAGTATTCTTATATTCTTCAACCTGGTGTTTTTTTTAGATTTTATTTTTCATTCTTTTCGTCTGTTTTTTCGAGTTTAAAAAATGTGAGCTGGCTGGAGCCTTCATCCCTTGTCTATTTCTTACACTAGATACCAGCTGATACCACCACCACCCCCCCACCACCCCCAGCTCATAGAGACTGCGTATTACAGTTGATTATAGTTCCTGGGCTCCCTGTGGATTTACTAGGTGCCATGTTTCACAACTTGTTTATTTATATACGTATAGCGGATGATTTTTTTTTTGAAAATTAGTATTTATTGATTTTCAGCCCCCAAGTGACTGTGCTGTCAGCTCTGAAACTCACCTGACTCCTTGGGTTGCGTGGTACTCCCCACCAGACGTATCGGTTGCATCAGCGAGAAAATTGGATATCGCTGTCTTTCCACTCTGCGTGAATAAATTGAAATCGTGTTTTTAAGAATCCTGAATATTCACCTCACAACCACGGTTTCTATGCACATGTAAACAACTACCAGGACGCGGCCATTTTGAATTCCGTGTTTTGCAAATTTCAAACAACGTTTTGATTGCAAAATTCATTCAGTACTTTTGAAACAGTTTTCTCTTCTAGGTCAAATAATGTCGAATGTATAAACAGAAGCATAGAAACGAGTCTACTTACTTCACACGGCCCGAGAACGAGAATTTTTGCCTTGTACATATCCCACTGTCTATGTAGCGACTTGACCACAGAAAAGGTATGTGCAACGGCGCCCTCTTGTTCAGAATGTGCACACGCTTTTGTTTTCTTGCAAACAGCGCCACAGTTTGAAGTGTGGCCCAGTTTTTCAATCGGGAGGGAATGATTCTACTTACTATAAATTAAGATTCATTTTATAATAATATGCTGAAGTCATCTCTATATCGTGGTGTATAAAACAAGTTCGCAATTCTCACCTATTCTAATTAAGTTCTATATTTCATGAAACTGTTTCATCTGTTTTTTTAGTAAAATATATAAAATGTATACTCATCCCAACTGGAGCCAGTCTATTTTTACATTAAATTTCAAACAAACTCGTGTGTTGGACCCAGGTTTTGTCTTAGCAGTTTTGTGTAGCGAGTTCCAGTGAGAAAATGACGAGGAATTGACAACATATGATTGTATTTTTATTACAAATGGAACCTCCTCTCTCTAATACTGGGAGTTCACAATGCAGAATATTGAGTCAATGTAATGCCTGGTTGGACCATTAACCAAAGTAGAACCAATCAGCACACTCAAGTATTTGCAAAGTAAATGGTCACACACTCTCATTCACACTTCCAGTACTTTTGACACACTTGTTGCCAAAACTCAGACCAAATTTAATACTTTTCATATTCCTTACCCAGTGAGGCACAAATTCATGACCCATATTAGAAATGACACCATATTTTAAATCAAATCAATTTATTTACAGTAAAAACATTGGTTGAAAAACAAATACATAGAAAAAAAAATCCTTTATTTACATATGAAATATACATAGTTGTGCTAAATCCAAAATTCATAATTTGTTTTACACACAAAACAAGAACTTAATACAACATGTAGTATAATAGGATCACCATGACAAATCTTCTATATGCATATATACAGAAATAGGCGACAAAGAAGACTGGACGTCATACATGAACTAATCTTGAAAATTCACAATCCAGACTCAGTTCATTTCCAAAAAACTATGCAATGATTAGTTATTGGTGAAAACACATGTATAATTCCAGTTACTGTAGTAATGGACGTCTCGGGACATCTAGAGTGTGTATGACTGTCATAACAATATCTAAAAAATTTAAAAATGAACTAAGTGACCAATATGTGACTGTGTTGTAAACGGTGTTGTCCTATGACAACTTTGATTGGTCAGTCATATATACGCTAAAGTTGAAATTAGGTTTTCTGACTCCGACATCGCACACTGCGTAGGAATATTTTGAATTATTAATGCGCTTACACACTGAACTTTACCCTTATAATTTGTCTATTTAACATTCAGGCACTCCCGAATCCCACTGTGCTGAATGTTGGCACTGTATGCACCCCTTTTTATATAATATATCATAATACACAGAGAATGAAAACATTACGTTCCAAAATGGTTTCATCATTTTTATTATGCATATACTGAAATTGTGACATTCTATTGATTCAAATAAACGTTGGCATGATATTTGTAGTCTACTTGAGTGGCTATTTTGTTTGCATTCATTTATGAGCTACCTAAAAGTTCTTTTAATTAATTTCTTTTTAGTTTGCTTCATCATTTGGTGGCGGTTCACTTTTTTCAATTTTTGGTTTGACGATAGCGTCCGCAGCTGACTCCCAATGATGCAGTTCAATCTCAATCTGTACGGTCAGCGGCGGCTTTTCCTTTGGTTTGTCTTCCCCGTCCTGGTTCTCACTGACATTGGATTTAGCTGATCCAGATTTCTTGGCCTTGTCCTTCTTGTCCACCTTGCCACCTTTCTTGTCTGAAACCAACAAGTCAAGTTAGGACAACTTTGGCATATACTACATTCGTGTACAAGTTGTTAGTTACTGTGAAATACTTTATTTTAGCTGGAATTAATTTTCGCTGAAAAGAGTTTTGGGGTGTTTTGTATGGAATTTATTTTCACTGATTTTTGTCGAGTTGAATGTAAAATATAGGAAAAAAGGTACATTCGCTGGATTTTAATTTCACTGAATCATTCCGTCAGCAAAAATAGGGAAAATTAATTCCAAGCGAAAATAAAGTATTTTACAGTAGATGCAAATACATTCACGTAATACACCGCAATAGATTATTAGGTCACATCAATCCAAACAATGAGTTTATTTTAAAGACCAGAAAAGAAAACAAGACATTTTTTTCATTGCAGTTATAGATCTCACAAATACTAACTCTGCGAATTGCAACCTGCGCCCTCTAGTGATAATTTTGGGAAAGTGAGTGATGAATTGGCAGAAGAATCAGAAAAAGTTTTCTGTAGTTTTGAAGCAAAATTGTGTTGAATGTCTCCCACGTTTTCTAGTTTTCATAATGTTAGACAATTCACTAACAATTTGTGAATATATTGCTTTATTGCTGTACAAAAAAAAATCAACCCAATTTTGTAGATACATGTATTACCGGTATTTTATGCTGATTTTAGGGTTAATACATGAGTCTATCAAAAAAAAAAAGGAAAACATGACCTATTTAATTATGAAATACATATTTTACCCTTTTTTTTAGTTCAAGATATTTAAACAATGTAGGAACAAATCTTTTTTGAAAACGTAACAACAAAATTTGAAATACAGCATCTTCAGAAAAAAACTCTATATAGCTTCCCCCTGAAATATTATACTTTTTGTTTTGAGTGATTTTTGTCAGTTTAATTCATTACAATCAGGGTAGTTCACATTAGTACATTGTAATAGAATTTATCATAATTAGCCTATTCAGTGGTATCAGTAATTTACCGGTACCACATATAGCAAATGATCGTCTCTTACGAATATCTGGCTTTCATTCATTTGATAATAGGAATTTAACGACCCATCTGTCGATCATTTCCCCCCAAAAAATGGCAAATCTAGAAAGCATATGCAGATAAAATTGCTTGCAAGCAAGCCACAAGCACTTAATTATTTTTAAAATCAATTTAAAGAAATAAGATAGATGAGTGATATTTTTAGTGACACATGTACAACAAACATTAATGATGATAACAGTTAATATATATATTAGCGTAACCAACAACAATACACATGCAAATTATCAGTATCAAGTCAGCCTGAACCTCACAGGACTTTCCATTGTACAACTGATGTAGTGTCAGAATCACTATCACGACATGTTATGCAACAACTGTATATACCTGGAATGTATAATGTTTGGCTCATTGATTATTCAACCTGATGTTGCACCCCAGACTGCAAGGGACTCTGATCAGCGTAAATACAGAAATAAAAAGGGATGGGGAGTTGTCGGGATGAGTTGTTGGTGTTGGGTGGTGCGCAACCCTTTCAACATGGCTATAACTTCATGCTTCTCAGTGTATTTATTGCAGAAACTCTTCATAAATATGAATGGCTATAGCATGAAGGTCACAGGTCAACATTGACAGTATGAGAACTGTGATATTGTTGACTCAGGAACACACCAAACATCAAAGAAACCAGAGAGCTCTCAAGTTTAATTTCTTGTTTATTCCGCCAATTTCAGTTTCACCAATGGCACTACTTTTTTACATATCAATACACTTGGGTGATCAGGTGACATATAACACCATTGCAATAAAGTAGTATCAAAAGCGTCACAGAACATACAGGATGTTGTGAAGTAATGGCAATAATGAGTGAATACATTTAGTACAACAGTTGAACACAACACAATTAATTTTAATTAGTTAGTTTTAAACACAGCACACACCTGGTTTGTCTTTACCCTTGTCTTTATTACCTTTGTCTGACTTTGCATCTTTCACTTTCTTTGTCTTTGGAGATTCCCCTCGCTCTTTCTTCTTCTTTTTATCCTAGATGAGGCAGATACGGGAAAAATAATGTAACAGTAAATTGAATGCTCTTATTACTAAAAATTGATAATTTTTTTATTGTGCCGAAAATATTTGTTTCGTGTCATCTCACAAGTCCGTTAAAAATGTGTAGGTAATACAAGCAAAATACAATTAATGTGACAATTTTGAAACAACAAATTATTGGGGGGGGGGGGGGGATAAATTAACGAGCATCTTCACCTTCTTACTAACACTAGCAGTCTCATCTTTATTTTGTTCCGCTTCCTCCATTCCTCGACACGTAAACGTCTCTTCAAGATAGTATTCCCCTTCTATAAAGTCATCCAAGTCAAGTTTATAAGTGCCGAGTACAGTTGTCTCTGCCGGCAAACTACGCATCTCAATGTCAGGCTCACCTTTTTTCTTCTTCTTACCATCTTTGGCGTCTTTACCACCCTAAGATTGAAATGATCAATTATGTCATATTGATTCTATAAATAAAATCAGCCCGGCAGCTGCATTTGATCTCAACAGAAAATATAATCAGAAAGTTTTTACTGATCATGGCAGTCATGTGCTTTCATTATAATAATACAAAAATAAAAGACTGTCAGTAAGACCAGAACACCGAGCATCGGGAGACACTGGTTACGTTTTTTTTTTTTTTTTTTCATTTCTGGAAATCAGGCATTCTGTGTATTCAACCCACACAGTTACACTATATGGTACTCAAAAACCATTTATTTTCACTGACTTTTGATTTCACTATTTTGATGTTTTTACCATATTCAACGTGTTTTAATTTGTCAAGGAAACAATGAGTTCTATTGTTATTTTACATGTTCACATAGATTTAATTTAGTGGATTTTACATATCAACGAAAATAGTAAAAATAAAAGCCTTCACAGTAGTATACTGTTTAATCATTATGAAATACCCCCGGTAGCTAACATGCCATTTTAGCAAAATTCAGTGAACAATCTCACTGGTAGAATATACTGTAAAATACTTTATTTTTAGCTGGAATTAATTTTCAGTGAAAATTGTTTTGGGGTGTTTTGTATGGAATTTATTTTCACTGATTTTTGATGAGTTGAATGTGAAATATATGATAAAAAGGTATATTCGCTGGATTTTATTTTCACTGAATCGTCCCTTCAGCAAAAATAAAGTGTTTTACAGTATTCTACTATGGCAGGCAGTCTTGTGTTTATAAATACATATTATAAACAGTTCATACAAATATGGAAAAATATATGACATTTTCAAACCTGCAAGTAACATGTCAGGATAATTACAATGCTTTAAACTAAAAAATTAAGAGGAAAAAAAATACATTTCATCAAAAGTATTAAATACATATGTATGCAGCATAATAGGTTAATAGAATATATGAAATACACGAAATGTGTTCGTGATCGTTCTCGTGCTTATATTGGTTTCAGGCCAGTCAACACGGCAGAACGTTGGTCCAGTTTCGAGTACTTCATCGACTGCGGACAAGTATTCGCAAGGCAACGGCAGCAGCGACACCAACGGCCATACAAAGAGTAAGAGTAAGTAATGATAGACACAGCCACGAACCTTATCCCGACCACCCACTCTGGTTTATTTCCAGGTAGTTTAAATACTTCAATTGTATATTAATCATTTCTGTTCCGATTAATTATATATGCAAATTATATGCACATTGTTATCGCCACAATGGTTAACATTTCTAGGGAGACTAGCTACTGTACATGCTTCATACATTGCAACGCACACCACAGTTATAAAGACATGTAAAAGACTCAACATTTTGTCTTACTTTGTCTTTTGCCTTATCTTTATCTTTGCCGTCTTTTCCCTTGCCTTTCTCTTTACTCGCATCCTTTTCACTCTTCTTCTGACCGCCTTCCTCTTCCACAGGAAAGGACAACACCTGAAACAACACAAATGAGTCATATAGTGGTTTGACAGCTGGAAGCCCTCGTAGGACTACATGTACATATTTACAGCTGCATTTATAGCCTGGACGTCTGCCAAAGTGAAGTGTTTAAGGTTGTAAATGATTTCAGAATTTTGAAATGCAATCATTCAGTTCTCACAGGCTACCTTTTCACCACCAGACTTTTTTGTCCAAATTTTTCTGCACTTTTTTCTTCTATTCTTCAATATTTCAAAAAATGAACTTGATTTTTTGAGCCAACAGACAAAATTTGAGTCAATATTTAATTTTTACTCAAAAAAATTTGGCTATTTTTGTCCCAATTTTTGACTATTTTGTGAATTTGTGATGAACTGATGGTGAAAAGGTTAATTTGTAATTCAACCTCTGATGTGAATTAAATTTAACTTTATGAGTGCCATTTTTATTCAACCAATATTTAGGTGCAATATTTAGCTTATTTTTATGTCTTTTTCAAATTTTTGAGAGATAATTTTGAAATAAATCTAAAACCAAAGTTTTGAATGGTGCCAGAAAAGTTGATTTTGACGCTCAAAGGGTTAAATTCATATTTAATAAACCAGGTATACTTTGAATGCAAATTTTGTTCACTGGGTTTTAGTCTGTTTACATTAACTTTATTTACCAGAAATCCAATAGGATCATTGACTTTAACAGTTTTGAAATCATTGGTTGTAGAAAAAAAAAAACATATTTCTATTTAAGCAATAGAACATTTGCTAGTTTTTTAAAACCCCAGTGAAGTTTTCACTTTCACCAACTTCCATGATTTACACTGACTCACAAACGTGCACCACTTGCAAAAATAAAGCATCATTTCATTTAACATCTCAGAGACTTACCTTATCCTCCTTAACAGACAGACTCATCCCATTCTTGAAATACTCCTTGAGAGCCGGCAGATCATCAACGGTGAACTCAAAAGAGTAGCCTAACTCAATACCGTCCTCAACCCATGGCAACCCGTCTGTCCTGGCTGGTGCTAGCTTCAGACCTGTAGGTTTAGGGGTTTCAGACTTGACCGTTGGGGTGGCCGATGTCGACTCGTCCCCCACAGCAGTGAAAAACGTACCCGAGAACTCTGAGCAGTGTCAAGGTCAAGTCACAGAACAGAATGACGACAGAAAGTTGCAGTATATTCACACCATGCAGCATGCATTTAGGAAGGGATCAAGGAAAGAAGAAAAATAAAATAGGATAAGAACTAGTAATACACACCATTTAAATAAACTATGATGCACAGATAAGAATATCTACTTTACATAACGAATTGTTATTTTGGTGCATTCTAGCTAGAAATTACTGTAAAACATGTCTTTTTCACGCTCATGTTTTTTTCGCGAATTTAGCGAGAGAACTGATTCGCTAATTTAACATGTTGCTATTACGTCATTTTACCACAATTCACTAAAATTGCATGCCGCTTTTTCAACATGTTTTACAGTACACATACATGCATTGATTGACCTTGACTTACCAATTCAATATACCAAATTACCCATGTATAGCGACCACCCAAGGGGCTTCATTAAAATGATTTTTATAGACAGGTAGTCTTTATAAGAAGGTTTGATTCCTTTTCCTATGGATTACCAGACTATTCATTTGATATAATATTTGTTCAGAAAATAATGAAATGGTTATCAAAACATGTATTTGAGTTAATCAAAATTCAAAATTGTTTTATTTACAGAATTATTATTATTTTGGTCTCTAAACAAAGGCAGATTCGCAAAATATCATTGAAAGGGTGGTTACGTAAGAAAGGTGGTCTTTATACACAGGTTGCTCATACATAAGTGGTCACTATAGGAAGGTGGTTTTTAACAGTCAACATTGATGAATGTGCAAGGAGATTCAAGAAAAATTGATGATTAGGTGTCATGTTCACCATATACTTTCATTTTGATGATCCAGATTAAGGGTTTAGATACAAAAGTCCAAAATATCACAGAACACACTGTCAAATACTTAATTTTCGCTTGTAATTTATTTTCGCTGAAGGGATGATTCAGTGAAAATAAAATCCAGCGAATATACCTTTTTTGAGTACAATTTTCCTTTCAAAATGTGGATGCAACGTTTTTTATGTATTTTTGCATTGTATTTGTTTTGATAACTTTGGACTAAACACATTTTCTATTGGCTTCAGATCTTGGCACCCAATTCATAGCAATGCTTATATCGACTATCCGACATCTTCTGTCTGGTGAAAGTCTGGTGGTGAAATGATTCAAGGTGTACATAAATGTCATGGAATTTTCAGTCCAAGTACCGGTATATATGCAACCATATATGCTAGACTGTGCAAAACAACGAGGGGAAATAAAACATTACCTAATTTGGGTTCTTCTGCCCCGCTGATTTGTGACACTGCTCGTTCACTGTCATCGGCACCCATCAAAGCACTGTCATTTTCACGTACAGGCGTGACGGAAGATAAAATTTCAACACCACTCTGCAATGAAATTAACGATATGAATGAGACCGATAAACCGCATGGACATGGTAGTTATTTCAATACCAGGGGATAAAATCTAAAGTTCTGCCTCTCCACTCACTTCCCAGCATCTGTTGGTTTTTAAAGTTGTACCGTCGGCAGTTGCCATTAAGATTAGACAGAGATGCACCTTAGGCAGGCTCTTGAGTTGTTTACTGTATACCATTTATAGGACAACTACTCGTAATATTACGTACCGGTACTCACATTGCTGCTGTGTGCAAGTGAACTCCATCAGGCATGTGTTTTGGGGCAAGTCACTCGAAAATGAAAGAACTTTCAACTTCAACAAGTGGTTATTGCATTTACCTGTTTGTCTATACCCGAGATAGTTCCATCTCCTCCACGCTGATCCAGCACACTGGTCGGCCGTGGTAGCGCACTTTCTATGAAATCATACTCCACATAGTACTTCCTGTCCACGGTCGGAAACTCGGGTTGCTCATCAGGATTCTGCAACTCTTCGGGCATACCTATTCCTTTCACTATCTGAATATTGATGGTCAGCCGTGCCTCATCTAAAATAAATTCTGGGGGCAAACAGATATTTATGAAATACGCAAGTTATTGTATTGTCATATGCAGCTGAGTGTTCTTCCAGGATACAGACTGAAAAAGTTGTTTCTCCAATTCTAGGAAAAAGTAAGTATCAGATGAATGCGATTTCTAGCTACACAAGTTCCTTCTTCTCTTACCTTTTCTCTTGGAGAGACCACGGAAATGATGCCTCTCATCGGCTGTCACACGAAAGTCATCCAGTATGGCTAATTTTTTAAGACTGTCAATTACAAAACCACGATACCCTGGAATGAACTGTAAAGTGATGTACAGATTTAAATGACAACTCATAATTTGTACAATGCAGCTTACCACCATCAAATCTACACTCAAAGTACTACAGTAGTATTCAGATACTATCTACTATACCAAACTTTGCATTTACCTGCAAGATTCAACATGTACCATATTTGCTCTCCTTAGTAGCGCATATGCATACATAAATAGCAGAGATTGTTCTATAGTCAAAATAAGTAATGATTCTGTGTACAGCAGCCAATGTTTTTTTGGTTTATATGCATTTCCACTGGAGATGCACTTCTAAACAGAGCAAATACGGTAATGTACAGGGGGGAAATTATTTGCTGGGTCTTCACTCATTTGGCCATCTGCTAAATAACTAACTAAATATTTCTCCTGTTTTCGAGAACCTACTGTATAAAATCTGTGTGTTTCTGACTCACCAGGTATTAGTCTATGGTACAAGATCAAAAACAAGAATTACGTTGAACCTCAAATTCAAATTCCAGTACCATAATAATAATAAAATTATCATTCATGACTACACAAAAGAATGCAATGTCTAATACAAAAATGTACATGTACATGTATGTATACTCACAGCTAAGGGGTTGCCTAATAAGACTAGATTCCGCAGCTTCGGTAAAGTCTGTAGTTTTCGGATCACCTCTATTAGGTCGCATAGATCGTTATGACTAAGATCAAGAGACAGGAGATGCGGCCTGCCAAAAAATCGTATACATACTCATCACCAGTCGTGTGTTGAGTGTGGAGGGGGATGAGAGATCAGAAGCAGAGGCAGAATCAAGAAAACAGAGGGAGAATCAAGAAAACAGAGGGGGAATCAAGAAAACAAAATGGAAATCCAATCAAGAGAATAGAAGAATCAAAACAAAGATTATGACATCATTTTGCTCAAAACACAGGAAATTGATTCATGATCTACGATATGAAACTAAAATAATGCAATAAATAAATAAATAAAACTACCATAATGTATAATGTACTGATAAATAATTTCATTTATTCATTCATACATGCAAATATACAGACTTCTACAAATAGTGTACTTACCAGTGAGCATCAGTAATGTAATCATCTAGGAATGATATCTTATTGAGTCCAAGCCCTAAATGCTGTAATGGCGGTGGACTGTCACACAGTGACGAGAGATCACTAATTCTATTGGCGCATAATTCTAAAACCTAATAAACCCATAAGTTGAAGAAAAAAAAAGTTACAGCAATTTCCCAAAATTATGTGTATATGTACAACAATTAATATCGACTATGCAGATTTCCATAGTTACGTATTCATTTTGAAGATAAACTTACCTCTAGACTGGCAGGTAAACTCTTAGAATTGACCGTTTCTAAATAATTGCAGCTTAAGGTCAGTTCAGTTAAATTTTCAAATTTTAATAAATCGCTGTCCACTTCTGTAACCTGTGGAGTAAAAAATAAAAATAGAAATCTTGGCATGGCTTGGCAATTACATTACTATTCATCATCAAGAGTCAAAATATAGTTTGGTCAAAACAATAATTGTCCTCCATCTCTGAAAGTTTTGTTTGAAGCCTTTGTCCAGTAATATGTGTAATATACTGTAAAATACTTTATTTTAGCCGGAATTAATTTTCACTAAAAAGACTTTTTGGGTGTTTTGTGGGGAATTTATTTTCAATGATTTCCGACAAGTTGAATGTAAAATATAGGAAAAAAGATTTTATTTTCACTGAATCATTCCTTCAGCGAAAATAGGGAATTAATTTCTAGTGAAAATGAAGTATTTTACAGTAATAGCTTAGGTATTTGTAAGATATCTGCATCTGACGTTTCTTGCCAATGGCATGAGCAGTATTATACAATTTTCGGCATCTTAGGGTGTCATTATTATTTAAATATACATTTCGGGGGGGGGGGTCTAAATACATTTTCTTTACCTTTTTATCTATAATCCTAATAGTCTTGAAATGTTTTAATATGAATTTATCGTCAATCAGCCATGGCGACTTGACAGCAATGTCACGTAATTCTTTGGCTTCGTTACTCCAGCTGGTATCTACGTTGTATGGGGAATGTTTGGATGTGAAATATTCCTCTAACGTCTCTTCTTGTTCTTGTTGAGCTCCGTAGTCTATTAAAAAGAGAGAAAGCAATAACAGGTGAATGATAAATAAGGTTCCTCTGAGGCCAAGAAAAAAAAAAAAAAAACAGAGAAAGAACTCTTTGTTGAGGGTATTGGAGGCATATGAAGCAGAAATGGGTAATATTTAAAATTTGCATTTTAAAGAAGAAACCTGGTGACTAATATGGATCTTGTCTTTCAGATGCACAATGTGATCCTACAGTATAGAAGGTAGTACCAGTAATATAAATGGAGTAAAACGAAAAAATTTGATTATTCAGTTGTGGTTTATTCCAGAGTAGTGTTTTTTTTAAGATAAACAAATTGGCTAATTTATGATAAATAAGGTGGTAATTATGCACGGTTTCAAGCCCAAACTAATCACTGTTGTGGAATACCCCCCCCCCCCCCAGAGGACCTAAATGTAGATGTACCAAGTTTCAAGATTGAAATGCAATGATTGGTTCTTCAGATATCAATGAAAATTGGCTAATGAGTATCCACTATTTTGGTATAACAATTCAAACATAGAACACATGGCAATTCCCAATTGTAGTGAATTGTGGAATAGTTGGGACCGACTCAACTCTACCAATCACAAATCGCGTCTACTCGTGCAACATGGCATTCCCAAAAATTATAAAACTTAAAACCAAATTTAGTCATGTTTTCTTGATTCTCCTTCTGCGTTCTTTGCTATCCTATTATACCCATTAGAAGCAAGTGTGCTTTTTTTTTATAAGCACATTCACTGTCATGTTAAATTTTCAGCCATGGACTGATTACAAATGTATCTCAACAATAACTCATTATACTGAGAACCTTAAATCTGCTTTCCTCTTCTAAAGCTAAAAATAATAATATACAACCAAATAGATAGTCGATGTACATATTTTCATAAGCTAAACTGCAGCCAAGACACAATTTTTTTTTTAATTATCAAGAAATTTTGCTGTATACAACCTGCAAAGCATCAATGGACTTCTCACTCACCTCTCACTGTAACAGCAAAATGCGTAGCTGGCAAACTTTTATTTACTGATGTTCTCTGAGGGAAAAAAAAAAGATATAAATTAATCGCAAATTTAGTCATCAAAAGCAATTGTCTTGATGCTCAATAATTGAGTTTGCATTGTTGACCTTATAGATAGTCCCATCACTGTATTTGCTAAACTGGAAATGCATCACCCATAGAAGCACAAAAAACACCAATAATCACAATTTTTAGATATAGAATCATTAACATATTTTTGATTTACATAAGTCAATGTACTACTAATAGAGCACTAATACGATATTTGATGACAGTGATGAAGAGAACAATCTACCAGAGAAACCACTTGCCATTACCAGTAAAATCTACCACTAAGCTACACACCCATTAACTGATTAGAAAGAGTTTATGCTCTCTCATGTTAACAACCATTTCCAATCTAGAGGATTCAATGACAACAAAAAATGTGTTAAGCCAGTTTGAAATCATTTACACAACTCATGTGGGTGTGGTATACTATTTATTTTGTAAATACAGTGCAATTTTACATCACAGACACGTTTATTTCACATTTCCATCTGCCACTTCCCTTATTTAATTTATTTATATATGCCCCCTATTTGACTTGAAATTTTCCCAACCTTCACAGAAAGGCCATCTCCTATAATGGCCTCTTTGGCCTGATCTCTCGATCTCTCGAGTGATCCACATAGACAAATTTGCTGTAATCTTGTGTCATGGCCATACAAAATGGGTGCCCTCCCAACTCATTCAAGTCCCTGAATCTCCATGAATCCTAATCCTCACTACGAGTGAATATTTATTTGTTGTATGTGGGCTATATCAGTACTAGATCACTGACCAAATCAAAATGCACGAAATGGAAGGGATCAGTTAACCAGTCTAAACTTCTGTAAAGCCCATCGGTCCATCTGTAAGATAACCTTCAATATATCCATTATTTATCATCGGACAACTAGTCCGTGAATGATTCACAGTCAATTCGTCCCAATTCACATTCGTCCCATTTCACATTCATCCATTTTTTTTAATTTGTGGTCAGCATTACGATCTTGAGCAGGGTCAATTTCTCTGCCAACTGTTACCGACACGCTAACTAATAACTCCACGTTGCGTATACGGTGTATTTGTATTTAATATTAACTAATAACTCCACGTTCGTTGTTTGATTTTTTGTGCTTATTTGGCGAGTTAGTAGTGGGCTAACCTTAAAATCTGACGAATCGACTTG